CACGTGCATTGTTGAATGACAGAAATACATTGTCCGTCAAAGAAAGCACGAAGCATATTCCACTCTGACTCAATGGCGGGCGATCCACTACACTTCGACTATCACGCACTCAGAGGCACAGGCACGATAATTGAGTACCTTGCGTCCAGAATGCGTAAACGCGGGGTACAATATACTGGGAAAATTGTGAAAAGCGAAGTGAAACGGTCAAAAATCTGCGAAAACCATTTGTTCTACACGATTGAGGAAGCAATTTTGGACGAGTTCCTCGTTGGAATCGTTGCGCCAATAACCGCTACAGTAGATACGGCTGCATGTGTACTCATATATCCATGCAGCACCGCAGTCCGCTTCATATCAATCCCTTCGCTTCATATTTTACTTCGCAAATGAAGCTACGAACATCAGCGAGTCGGACATTTGTGGGCGGGCAGGCGCGGTGGGCGTCCGGGTCGGTATGTTGCATTTAGGCAGGGCGCTATAAGGGTACCCCTTTAAAAAGGCACCTGCTCAGGGGTGCCGTATTCTGTCCTGTGCAAATCAATTCTACACGTCGTGGCTGGCTTCGTAGATGACAGTGATCAAATATGTGCAGAAAAAGGGCGGTCCACTCGCACTAACACTCTTTCCCTACCCCTCCCTGACCCCCTCTTCCAGTGATTTTCGCCTTACAAAACGTTCAGCTAATACTGCTTGCTAACAGTAATGAGAACTAGCTGTCAAAATACTTTCACCTGACAAAACGTACTCTGCGTGAGCCTGTGTGTGCCACTAAAAGCAGTTCTTGTAGGTTTTTGGACGCGAAAAGGTAGATAAAAGTAAACGTGAGGTGAAATGTAAGAAAATGGCTGATTAGTGATTTTGTGAAGACAAAATTCTAAACGAAATCTATCAACAATCAATGGAGTGATGTCAAGCGAAAAATTACCTGAACCATCGTCTTCGTCACTCTTGAGACGAGTAGCTGAGGGAACACTGTGCATATACCACATCGCTGCTCAACCGACGTCAACACGCCACGTTTTTGACAGAAAGTGGCGAAAAGGGATTATGCCAACGAGCTGCCACTGCCGACCGACCCTGTGAAACTGCCACAAGAGAGGTATGTCACAGAATTTCAATATAATCGGCTTTTTTTCTAGTGCATTTCAGTAGGTTTCGTGAGAGCACAGGCATTTAGCGAACGCACTGTGTCAGTGTCATGGTCAGAGGTCAGAGCAAACCATTTAGAAAAACGCATGAGAAAAACGAGAATAAAAGGAAACGGAGCATTCGCGTTGACACAACGTCCTCTTTTTTGGGACGCGGGGGCCCTGCATTTTGTTCTTCATGGGCAGCCAGTTACACAGCAGTTCCGCCAGCGCATCCACTTGGCAGGTGCCGGTCGATGTACAAGCGGGTGCTCTGAAACAGTTGAAATTTCAATCGATTAATATCAGCTTCTACGACACAATTCCTTTGAATTATTAATTGTTCTCTTTGGCTAATAATTCTTTGAAGGAAGTGATTCATTCTGGGAGTCCACTCGTGGATTGGATCCCGCCCAGACCATCATGCCTGCTACCCTTCCTTGCTGCTAATGCCGTTTGGACTCCAGAAATTTCGGCTCCGAGCTCATTTTAAAAGTGGCAAGATCACCAAATCCGCTAAAAACTTGTATATAGGGGTAATTCAACATCCTGATCACGAATATGACATTCATTTTTGGCGCTGGCGCTAATGGATGACACTACGGTTACTGCTAAGGCTGAGCCCAGGAGGTAATCGTAGTGTCCTCTCTTGGCGCCAGCGCCAAGAATGAGTGTCATACTCGTAATCAGGATGTTGAATTACCCCTATATACAAGTTTTTAGTGGATTTGGTGACTTAGGCAATTTGAAAATGAGCTCGGAGGGGCATTAGCCTTCCTTTCTGGTAAATTCGTACCAGATTCATCTGAGAAGATCAAAATGTGCTGTATATGGGCTGACGCTCAAAAGTCACTGCATACGAAATATGGGGTTCAATGGGCGGTTACGATTTTATGGAAGTAGCCCCATCCCACAGAATGATTGATTTCTCTAATACCGACTGATCCCGTTCATTAGTAGGATTTACTTCATCACTGCGAGCAGGGGATGGATGACCTGCTGCTGGGCTAAATTTTTACAAAATACGAGTCCTTCCTCAAAATTTCCTCTTCTGGTACGAGTACCCATTTCTCATCCCCACTTCCTACCATCCCCTAGATTCTTCCAAACTCCTGCAACTTCCCGGAGTTCCTGTTCCCTTTCCTCCAAAAAACTGCTGGTACGGAGGTGAGATGGCGAAGGTGTCTGTAGCGCACGAGAAGCGAGAAGAACCGAGGGCGTTAAACGTTCCGAAGACATTTCTCATAAAGGCAATACGACTCCCCCTCCTCCCCTTTACTGGGATTCCCAACGTGTGACATGTCCTGACTACGAGTGCCGGAATCCAGGTTTGTCCCTTGGTCGTGTAACACCTTCGATAATGTTTGAACGTATGCTGCGCATTTCGAGTTTCACCACTTCTTCTGCAGAACTATATTCTTGGTTTTTTTCAGCGTGTTTCCAAAATTGCTGCCTCAGACCAATAACCAACACACTGCCATGGAAGTGTGTGTGTGTGTGTGGGTTGAAACCTTAGTTACCACCGAACGTCCAGCGTATGGCCGTTTTCACCACGATTACTAATTCATCAGCCGCATGCACCTTTTTGGCTCTCTTTTCGTACTAATCGGCTCAAACAACAACCAATACTTTTTCTATTGTGTTGCGTTTCTATGCGTAATACAACTTGTTTCGTAATAGGTAACTTAACAACTTTAACTAACCTAGTAATTTTTACTTTTTTAATGTATTTTGAATGTTCAACTTCGATCTCCTTGTCGCATGTCTTACCACGACGGACCGAATACTACTATTATTGATGTTGCCACTATTATTATTACTGTCATTATTATTATTACTATTATTGTTACTGTTATGTTATTTCTACTCTGATCCTGCGAGCGGTGTCACTCGGACCACGTCCTTTCTCTCAGGGGTATGTGGCAAGAGAATCGCAATTCGCCGCGCTAGTGGGCGTCGCGGGCGACGTCGCGCCCGCTAATGACGACTTTAGGTGGTATTGGTCGAGAATAGACAATGTACGACCAAAAGTAGATATAAGTGTCTTAACATATTAATTTAGCTATTAACAAGGGGAAGGGTGTGGACGTTATATATTTTGACTTGTCCAAAGCGTTCGATAGAGTAAATCATGAAAAGCTTCTATACAAATTGTGGCAGTTGGGAATTGAAGGTCCCATCCTTAGCTGGATCAGTTGTTATCTGAAGAATAGACACATGTGTGTCAAAGTAGGTAACAGTTTCTCACAGAGATTCCCCTGCACTAGTGGAGTTCCACAAGGAGGTGTCTTGTCTCCTCTGCTGTTTTTGATGTACACCTACGACCTACCAGCCTGCCTAAATACCCACCCATTGGTCAATGTTAAAATATACGCCGATGACATCAAAATATACGGTGTTTATGATAATTATAACCATGACTGCGTTCACCGAGCGTTAACCCAGTCTATACGCAAGGATGAATGCGATGGCTGATGCTTGGGGTATACCTGTGAATTTTATGAAAACTTCTGTACTTCACATAGGAAAAGCCATAGTTGTACCCTACACAGTCAGTGGCATCTCAATCAGTGTTTCGAGGGAAGTTCGCGACCTTGGGATCCTCATAAATTCCGATTTGGATTTCTCGCATCACATTGATGCGATTGTTCAAAAAGCTTTTAGAACCCTCTTTGCCATCTTGAGAAATATTCGACAGAACGATTCTTCAATTTTACTGAAGCTTTATAAAGCATACGTCATCCCTATTCTCGAATATGGTTCGCAAATATGGAGCCCTCATACTAAGAAGCTTCAGGCAAAAAATTGAAAACGATCCGCATCGCATGAGTATCCGCATAGTTTGCCCAGCTACCAGGAGCGCCTACACTTTTTCAGCTCAAATCACTAATGCACAGAAGAGTGTTCAATGACGTTGTGTTCTGTTTCAAGATACTGAAAGGAGAGCTAAAGCTGAAACCCAGTAAGTACTGGGTGTTCACCGCACGAATCCTGTCGCACCCTCGCTCTGTGTTGTCCTTGCAATGTCGCTAAAATTGTGCAGTAGCCACCAAACCCGGGTTTCTAATTCACTTTTCTTCCGTGGAGCGAGATATCTTAAATTACTTCCATCAGACCTGCAGAAGGCGCCTAACACCTATACGTTCAGAGAAAAATTAAAGAAAGTCTAACTGAACCTTGCTAAGCCCTCAAGGATATCTGAAGCTCGCCAGTCTGGTTGAACTCTTCTTGCTCGCCTGTATTGTGTGCTTACCGAAATTTTTTGTTTTTTTCTTTTTTTTAATAACTGTATTGTTGTTCGTCCTATGACTCGAAGGTTATCGCTTGCACTGTTAGCGCACCTATGCGTGCATGATAAATAAATAAATAAATATAATAAAATAGACATAAGTGGTCTAACATATTCTGTCTACATGTCCGAAGCTCCAGTCGAAAGGGTAGTGCAAATCAAGGAAATGTCGCGCCCACTGCTGCGCGCGACGAAGCGGCAATCGACGATTCTCTTGCCCGCCTCCATTTCCTTTGCACCATTTTTGTAGGTGGAGTTCACCAATGAGAAGGGCACTGTGGCCCAAGTGACCCACCCATGCACTCTGTGTCTGCGATGTGTAGGTGCGTGATTTCTTCGCACAGACATAGCCTTGCTGCGCTGGCATCTTCTTGTAATTTACTGACCGTGTAGTAAAGGAATAACGCCCTAAGTACCGTACAATATTTCGTTTTTGCAGTGTTTTCACCAGTTCCCAGATGGCTCCACACAACGTCACCGATCAATGTGACGAATCAATTTAGAAAAATGGAATACCCAGTCGTAGGCTTTTTTACATGAGAATACTATTTTCCGAATCTCATGATTTCTTGCAATTTCAGATGGCACTTGCCGTATGTCTGTTCATAGCGAAGTCTACAGCTTGTATGTGGCCTGCATCAGACGTCCTTTTCATTATTGATGGCACCCTTAGCCTGGATCAGTTCCAGTTCCAAAAAGAAATTTCTTTCATAACCCAGGTTCGTTGATATTGCAGTCAGCAGTCACCTGAAGTGGCCGAAGTGCAAAACATCCGACAGTGACCGGTTTCTCTTTGGGATGCGCCATTCATTTGTGCAACGTTTAGAATTGCGGTGCTGAAATAGTGTGATGTCGCATATTCGATATACACGTTCAGTGCGGGCTCAGCTTACGAGCGCGGCAGTGTCCTTGCACCTCCAAACAGACCCTGTTGCAACCGTACAAATCCGAAAGGAACGAGGATTTCGCCTGATAAAGACCAGAGGTTTCTGTTAAAGGCAGTTGGCACAATAATTCCCTACGACGAGTAGGATTAAAGCGCTTAGCAGGACGGAATTTCGCGACCCTGGGCAGGCGCTGTGTAGCGCCTTTTCAAGGGGGTACCCTTATAAGGCCCTATCAAGCTGCAACATACCGACCCGGACGCCCACCGCGCCGCCCGCCCACAAATGGACGACCGTACTGATGCTCGTAT